CGAGTCGCATCTCGCCCAAACCAGACCGTTCACTCTTGAGAGGCCTGCCATCTCCTAGGACACGCCCGTTTTCTCGCTCCCTGCACCTACATCTGCAGCTGCGTTGGCCCACTGCCACATCGTCAGAACTGCTGCTGCTGCTGCTGCTGCCTCCATCTCGCCTCGGCCAGGCTCCCAACTCGACTGCGCCCACGACCGACACACAACGCAACATCCCGCGTCACTGTTGCCGCTTCAATCTCATTGATTCATCATCCACGTCTCTCAATATCTAGAAGTTGCGTCTTTTGATACCCCGCCGATAGATCTACCCAAGTTCCTGCTGTCTGGTACGTAACTGCTTTCAATCTTCTGCTGTGCGAATCACACATTCCATGTCGCAAGGCTGCTGCTGCTGCCAGGCGGTAAATCCTCCGAGAGACCGGGCTCACTGCTCTCGTTGGTCCAACAGCTGCGCGGCGCCATCGTCTGTCTGACTTGACGGTCTTGTCTATTCTCGCGCGTGTCACCAGCTCCACCTCGGCTCAGCCCATCGTTGAACGAGTAGCTAAAGAGGCTCGTTTGGGGACTCAGCATTTTTTTGTCATTCAGTCACCTTGGCCTTCTAGCCTCTGAATGACTCTTGCTCGGACCTCGTGGCGCATACCAATTGCCCTATGCCAGTGGCTGCCAGCTTGGACCCCTCGAGAGCTGAGCCGCAGCTCCCGTGACACCCCAAGCTGCTTGCGGCGAAACTCGTCTCTTTCATCTTGCCTCACAGCGCTTGCCTTTTAACGTTTAATGACATAGCTGCTAACACAAATTCTAGGCTCATTCGGCCTTGACCGCCTTTCATCCTTGTTCTACTACTTCCGGCCGAAACAGGGTCCTCTCATCATCTCACTGAACTCATTCTTTCGTTTGAAGATATTGTTCTTCTGACACTCACATAGCAGGTGGTTTGACTGCCATTTCTTTCGACGAGAAAGCTGTTGTCCGAGTTGGTTTCAGGGTCCGGGTCTCACTTGACTAAAGCAGTAGGACAATGAGCTCTGGAGGGAGTGCTAACCCCGCCAAACCCGGCCCGCCTTCCAAACCGGGCCAGGGCACCTTCTCGGCGGTCGCTCCAAGTAGCCACGCCATCCTTCTCGATAAGCTTAACCGTCGCTCGACTCCTGATTCCGAAGCTCTGGCGAGCTCAGACGACGAGGCCGACGCTCATCGTCAAGACCTTCCTCAGCCTGTGTCTCAACCTCAGAAACCAGTCAGGCGCGCCTCTTGGCTTAACGATACCACACAACCTCTGCCTCGGCCACGCAAGGGTTCTTTCGCCAGCAGCTCTATGTCTCCTACAGCATCCCACCCGAGCACCCCATCGGCGGAGGGCAACGCGCCTTGGGGCTCTCATTCACAGTCTTCCGGCGTCATGGGCCGAGCCCCGGTGCCAGGATCTACTTTCACTTGGGGGACTGGTATTTGGAACAACGACAGGAAGGATCCACCTTCGCGCCTGAGTGAGGTCCTGCCCTCGCCTACGTCGACGATGCCTCCTGGTTCAGCTGGAGGCTCTTTTTTCAGCGAGAGCAGCTACGGACAGACTTCGCCCGCCCCGCGAGACTCCGCCCCTAACGCTCAGATCCCGTTTGCGATTCCTCTGCACCCGACACCGAAGACTTACCGCTCCCAGTCGTATTCTGTCGGCCAGCTCGAACCCGATGCGCCGCCCGCATCCATGAGCAGCTCGACGATCCTTGGCCGTGGTCGCGCTCATGGTCACTCTGGTCTGCAGCACCGTCCCTCCCGACCCAGCATGCTGAGTGAGATGTCAAACGATGGAGGTCTGCTTGGCAAGGTCAAGGAGGTGGACGACGATGATGACGAGAGCGCAAGCGAGTCCATGCAAGGCTCCATGCATCAATCTGCCGAAGCGAAGACAATTGAGCTTCTTGCGCGTGAGAATGCCATGCTCCGGCAACAGCAACAGCAACAACAGCAACAACAACAACAGCAACAGCAACAATACCAGAACCGACTCAGGCCTAGGGCTTCAACTGGTGCCGCGTACGGGCTTGGCAACGGCTACTCTCTCCGAGAGACTGTGCCAGAGGAATCCGACTATGCTATTGACGAGCTGGACGAGGCCAACGAAGGAGCTGACTTAGCAGCTAAGAGGGCCATGGGGCGCAGGATGAGCGAGTTTGGAGTCTCCGCGTTCCGTTCACCATACGAGAATCGCAAGCTGGAAAACGTTAAGAAGGCATACTGGCATAGCTCGCTCGGATTTGGAGGGCCTGAAGGGCAGCAGAGTCGGAGACACTCATTTGCAGATATCCCGACGCGTCAAGGCTCCATCAGCTCCATCAGTGAGACCGTCACCGGGCTCGATACACCAGTGGCAGAACCGCAACAGCCCGTGGATTTCTCCGCTGCTTATGGTGAGAACCCAAATTTTCCTGTCAATACCGGTGAGTTCATCACTATGTCGCTTTGGATTTAACACGACTGACTCTGCGATATAGCATCGTATTTCACACCTGGTGGCAGCCTCCAGGCCCCCCCGGCGAGCATGTTCAGCAACCCGTTCTCCTCACCTTATCCTCAGATGCACCCAACACAGTACGGCAACCGAGCGCCCTCGCCTCATCGTAACGTCTATGCCATGTCGCAGCCGCGCCATAACCAATTACTGCACATAGTTTTGTTCAAGTGCGCCAGAGCCGATGTATTCTACATTCAGGAGGGCACCGGTCTCACGGTGAAACCAGGCGATCTCGTGATTGTCGAGGCAGATCGAGGAACTGATTTGGGAACCGTTGCGCGGGACAACGTTGACTGGCAAACTGCCAAGGAGCTGAAAGAGCACTACGCTGAGGAGCAGTACAAGTGGTTGATGATGTACTCGCAGAATGCTGCTGCCGCTCAGGACGGCACAGGCGCCGGCCTGATGGCGGCCGCAAACGGCCTCCAAGGCAGTGCTGTTGGCGGCATGGGTCCCCCGAACCAGCATCATATGCAAGAGCCGAACGCGGGGGAGCTGAAGCCGAAGCTGATCAAACGCCTTGCACAAAGCCACGAGATCCATGCCTTGCGGGACAAGGAGGGCAACGAGGCCAAGGCTAAGCGTGTTTGCATGCAGAAGGTCAAGGAGCATGGGCTCAATATGGAGATCCTCGATGCCGAGTTCCAAATGTAAGTGATTTGTACTTCTCTTTGTTGGTACAACTAACTAATCGGCCGCAGGGACTGGAAGAAGTTGACTTTTTACTACTTCGCCGACTCCTACATCAATTTCAACTCGCTCGTTACGGACTTGTTCAAGATCTACAAGACCAGGATCTGGATGTCGGCCATCAACCCGGCGTCCTTCGCCAGCCCGACTCTCGGCATTCAAGCACCGAGTGGCGTTGGCCCAGGCGCTGTCGGCGTTGGTCGTGGTTCAAACAACTCGGAAAGACGATCCAACCAGCAGCAACAGCAGCAGCAGGAACAGCAGCCTGTAGGATTCAACGGGGCTGGGCCTGCCGGCCGTGGATTCCAGAACTCGTTCACGCCTCCTTTCGGAGGGGACAGGCCCGGCCCTGGCCCTGGCTACGGCCAGCCAAACTACCCTTACTCCCACATGGGTGGTGGCTTGAGCAGCGTCCCTCGGCCTGGAAACATGCCCTACGTACCTGGGGTCATGCCTTCGCTTGACAGCTACAGCTTCCAGGGAGCGGGTGACTATCAGATGCGCACGCGTTTTGCTCCGGCCCCGGAAGGACCTGGCCCTCATGATACGGGTGCCCCAATGAACTCCCAAAATGATTGGGCGGCTGCCTTCCAGGGTCTGTCTTTGAACAGCCGCTGATGAGATTGTTTTCCCTCCGGTTGAAAGTTATCGATATTGGACGCACAACCCCCTCATTCATCTACAACTCGTTGATTCTCGCACCGAGTGTTAATCTTTTTCTTCCATTCCACTTCTTCACGCGTCGCTGCCACATCGAACCCACGCATCCGAATCTGGTTGGCATGGCCTAGGCATTATAAGCATGGCCGTGGCTGAGAGGCCCGGCGGCATTTCTCTCACTTTTGGCGTTGGAATGGTTCTCATTTTCTGCTTAAATTGTCAAAACGGCGGGACCTTTTTGTGCTTCTTTGGGAAGACAAAAGAAGGCTTAAAAAGGAAAGGAAGACATGTTGAACTACACCCCACTTTCACTCTTGTTTTGTTTGCTTGCGTTTCGCGATGCAGGGACCACGGCCTCCCCCATTCATGATGATGAGAGATTCAAGAGGAGATTGAGAGAGACTTTCACTACTACTCAGGGCACTACCGTCATAGACAGAGAGACTTTTTAGCACGAGCATGGTGTAACCTGAGAATCAAAAAAGGGACTTGTTTCTGGTTAATGGCTATGTGGGATTCTTGTACGAAAGATTTTGCTTTTCCATTGGTTTTGAGAATATAAGAATTACACAATTTGGTTGACGAGTTCGCATGAGACCTTGGAGATAGTGGCGCTGATGTTCAGGTATTAATCATGCCATCTGCGAGGGGTCACACGTGAATTGGTACACGATCTAAGGACGTTCTTACATCCTTGACATATCTATCGTCTACATAGATGTTCTTGCCTATGTTGCTTTGTCCTCCTTAATTCCTTGGCTAAGAGGTATTTCTGACATAAAGCAATGTTCAGGAAGGCAGTTGCTTCCCTGGCTGGTTACCTGCCCTCCATGACTGGGCGGCGACTTCCACTCCTTCGTTATACCAAATGAAATCGGGAAAGTGCTGCTTTGCATGACTGTCGTCACCTTCTTCCTCTATCTATCCTAACAGCAAGGTAGGTGCCACGCCTGCCGGAGAATTGCAACTTCCTCCTATCTCATGCCAATAGATGTTCGTTTTCCACATCCGACATCGCGTCCGAAAAGCAACATCTCCCATTGTTAGGATATCCAATCAACCATTCTTCTTTTGTGCGCAAATTTCGCCTCAGTGCTCGCATCCTTAAATACGTATCGGCCGGCTAGCGACGATGGAGGGAGCCATCACCGGCGCTGAAGCCAATAAGGCCTCCGAGGCTACCACGTCGTCCGAGAAAAGCAGCACGCCTGCCACAACCGACACCCTTACTACTACAACAAACAGCCTTAGCAGCCCATCGAAAGCCAGTAGCATCCCGGTGAGGAACGAGAGCCAGGATCAGAGGAGAAAGGTCAGCCTGACCAAGTACGGCAAGAACCGCACATGGAGAGGTCCAGGCAAGTTGCACGTGGTCCCCACACATGTAACCTTGATATCTGACCTGGAATAGATGGGCGGCAACAAATCAAATCAAGAGCACCGTCACGACGTGGCAGATCGAAGTATAAACTTCCCACAACCGAGTCAAACCCTCCTGTTCTTGACGAGGATTCTTCAGAGAACGCGAGTCTTGAGAAGAAGGCTGCTGGATCCGTTAAGACTAGAGCAAAGAAAAGTAAATCCCCAACTCGCAGCGCCGCGAAGGAAGCCTCCCCGCCTGAAGAGAAGCCTGTGCCAGGCGAGGACCAACCCTCGGAGCCAGAGGATGCGAAGCCCGGCTACGATGGGTGAGATTTCCAAGCCAAGACATGTTTCACCACTTGCTGATCATATTCCAAGGACAAGGAGATCCAAGCGGTTGAGTTCCTCCGGCGGCGTGAAAAAACCCGGCAGCACCAAAAAGAAAGGGCCGCGATCATCGAAGTAAACAGGAAGAAGCTTGCCTGGTGAAGTGGCTGGGCCTGACAGACGGTTGATCGCTGTTGACGGCACCTGACGGTGAACAGAGGAGGTGGAACCGATGTCCACGGAGCAGAGTACGTCGGCATTGGTTCAATATTGACATGAAGTTGGTGCAATCCTTTCAACGGGGTGTTCACCAATACTTGGAGCTTGTGGTTTTCAAACTGGGAGGGCGCAAAACTTGCATTGGTATCAGTATAAAAAGGGGTGCTGTCGATAACGAGAGTGGTAATTCGAGAACCCCTGATCTTGGGGATTGGAGGGTTGAGCATATCAGATATGAATAGCACGATAACACTGAATGGACTATGATCAGCATACCACAGCTTCTGGCAATGATAGCAGAGACAACGTCCGACGATACAAACTGAGGCGGGACACCGAGCGTCTACCTGGTGGGGTACCTGGTCTCACCGAGAAGCCCTGCTTTGCCCTGGTGCTCACCGAGCCCTGTCGGTGAGCGGGGTATGGACCCGTCTTTCTGTCCACTTCGGGACTAGTGCCTCTCGCTTGGGGCTAGCACCCACATTGTGAACTTCGAAATTTCACTGCCCGATTGAACTTTCTCTTCGTAGCCATTTTTTCCAACTCCAACCACCACCCTCACCAAAACCTCGGCAGCCGGATTTTACGTGAAAAGCTGGTTTGTTCCCCTTGCGATCCCCTCGACAGCCTGATTGACGACGGCTTTACTTTCATTCTACCATTTTCTCAATCAAACAGAGCGGCTAACCTATTGTCTCGCTGTTGCAGTCAAAATGGGTGCCCTCAAGTATGTCGAAGAGCTCCAGAAGAAGAAGCAGTCCGATGTGATGCGCTTCCTTCTGCGCGTTCGCTGCTGGGAAGTACGTTGAATCACCCAACCCGAAGATGTGGACGCCAAAGACTTTTCCCATCTCCTCTCTCCGACGACCTGTCTCTCTGTCGACTGCGCTCGATGGGATTTGGTGAAAGAATCTCGTCGAGACACAAGTCGGTCTGGGAGTGCGGGAAGTCGGGAGAGGTGTGGGACAACTTTGCGTTCCTGCTATACACTCGTTGAACTTTTTGCTGAGAGTGCATCAATATAGCTCCGTCAGTTGAACGTCATCCACCGCGCCTCGCGTCCCTCGCGCCCCGACAAGGCTCGCCGCCTCGGTTACAAGGCCAAGCAGGGCTACGTTATCTACCGTGTCCGCGTCCGCCGTGGAGGCCGCAAGAAGCCCGTCGCCAAGGGTGCCACCTTCGGTACGTTTCGTCCCTCGAAAGATGAGGATTGCCTGCAAAAGGAGGAGATGTCCGGGGACGGCAGTGAAATAGAAGAAGACAGAAGAAGTTTTTGTCTCGTCACAGACCGCTAACATGCCGCTTCACCAACAGGCAAGCCCACCAACCAGGGAGTCAACCAGCTCAAGTACCAGCGCTCCCTCGCTGCCACCGCCGAGGAGCGTGTCGGCCGCCGCTGCGCTAACCTGCGCGTCCTCAACTCCTACTGGATCAACCAGGACTCGACCTACAAGTACTACGAGGTCATCCTCGTCGACCCTCAGCACAAGGCCATCCGCACCGACCCCCGCATCAACTGGATCGTCAACCCCGTCCACAAGCACCGCGAGGCTCGCGGTCTCACCGCCACCGGCAAGAAGTCGCGCGGCCTCAACAAGGGCCACCGCTACAACAAGACCCGCGCCGGCCGCAGAAAGACCTGGAAGCGCCACAACACCCTCTCCCTCTGGCGCTACCGGTAAGCGGCTCGCCCACCATCATCGTCAACATAGGTGGCACCGCTTTGAGAAGGGCGGTCGTCGTCGTGTCGGCGCTGTTGCTGTTGCTGCTGCTACTGTTTCTACTACAACTGGGGACATTAACGACGACGACAAGAAAAAGACGGCTGGCGTACTATCGGGCCCTGCTGCCGTCAGGTGTGGTTTCTGGGTGGTATTCGGGACTGCCGCCGCGCGTTTGCGCGACGCACTTGGTATCATGCGCTGGAGTATTCTGGTCTGACCAGGGAATTTCAATTACGATACGAAAATGGAAACAGACTCTCTGAAAGAGCTTTTACATAACTTTTGGGCGGGCGTAATGATCAAAATGTGATTTTTGTGATGACACACTTCAACTCCCCGATTTCTCCCTGGTAAAGCCTTCTCTGGCTGTGGTGTGCTTCTTGTGTGTGTGCCTATGAATATTTTGTCACATACACCTTTAGAATCAGGCTTACCGGCTATGAGTGGCCTTGATATTTGCTCGCAGCCGCCTTCTCGTCCATAGTGGTTCTTTCAAGCAAAGTAGTGAAAATTTCGACCAGGGCTCCAGTAGGTGGGGGTTTTGCAAGCGGGTAACCCCCGGGCAGGCTTGATCGACAGGAGACGTACCGATATGGTGTGCACAGCACGGGAGTCTCATCTGTCCAGGGCTTCATCACGACCGGGCTGGCGGGCCAAATTAATTTGTCCACGTCTACCACACGGTTTCAGCTACATTTCCTTGCTTCGAGCCGAACTGTGAACTTCTTTCCATATGAAACTAAGACCGCATCTGCACATGCAGTGGAAGGAACCATGAAGCAGAAAAAGGGCCATTGCTTTCGTTTGCGGACGCGATACCGAATGGCAACGCAGATACACGTCTACTACCATCACATGCGACTGAAAGGTTTTGATCTTCTGTATATCAAACTGTAATTACTGGTTCTATCTTCCCAGATTATCTGTCATCTTGCAATAGAGTGGTTACCGATGGCGCTCATGAAGAAAGTTCCCCAAATCTCATATCCCTCGCGAAAGACCTTCCATACCCGGGTATTTTGTTTTCCAGTGACAAAAGAAAAAGATTCGCGACGCCGACTCCCTAGTGACCAATGCTTTCCAGGCCAATTCATTTGCCCATCTAACTCTTCTTCACCAACGACTCCGTACGTAATGCCCCTAGAACTGGCTCATAGAAGCGACGCTGTAATTGGTGGCTCGGGCGCGGTGAGCGGGATGTAGCGTGGTCAGCGGCCGCTCGATGTTGGGAATGATGGGGCTGCGGCGGTCCTCATCGTAGTCGTGCGGCTGTTGAGGTGTGTATCCACGCTCCATGTCCGGAATCGGATGGCTGATCTCAGGCCGGCCGTTGTTGTCGTTTCTGCCCCAGGGAGTCATTTGTGTCAGGCGCTTGAACTTGGATGGCTTCTCCTCGCGGACGGAGTTGCTGCGGAACGAGTACCCGTCAACGCTCTTGGCCGAAGCGAGAGAGCCATCGGCGCGGAAGTTTCGGGAGTTGAGGTCACCATCGCGGAAGACGATGGCGGAAATGATGTTGAAGAAGCCAAAGGTAATGGCCAGGATGCCCGAGGCAAGAATGAGACGCCAAAGCGGAAGGCCAAGAGTCTCGGCAGAGAAGGCGGGTTCGGAGGTGTTAGCGAGGACCTGGCAACCCATGACAATCATGGCAATACCCAGCCAGCTGAGGCCATGGTTGAGTGAGAGGACAGGCCAGTTGCGCTGAAAGTACCCCTCGAAGACCGGGAGCTCGGAGATGATGAGGAAAACTGCAATGCAGAAGGTGAAGAAGTGAGAGACAGAGTCGAAAAAGGCAAAGTTGCCCTTGAGGATGGACATGACGATCATGACCCAGCTAGAGGCGCAAACAGCCGACAGGCCAATGATGTTGAAGGCGCGGAAGACGTTCAGAACCACATGGCTCGAGCCGGCGAGACGTTGGTTTTCGGCGATGTTGAACATCCTGACGGTCTTTTTGACGATCGGGACGTCGCAAATGTTGACTGGCATGGTTAGTGGTGTGTCGAGACCGCGAGGGTGTGAATATATCTATACGTACGAGAGGCCGGACCCTGGCTGTCGATAGCTGTTTGTGAGTTTGTCGGTGACGAGAGCCGCGGCGTAGCAAAACAGTCGAGTCAATCAGACTGAGAAATCCAAGATATTGTGACTAGTGATCTGTCGCAAGATTGTCGAGAGAATGTGAGATGATTATGAGGCTGATGGACAATTTTTCTGGAAACCAGTCCAGAGGGTGCGTTGATATAGGGAGAGTGGTGTGGTGCAACGGAGAGCTTCACACAGAGTTGTGGGTAGAAGAGAGGAAAGACTGAACGTGAACAGGATTAGTTGAGACCCAAGAACAGGATTGTCCACAGCTGTTCAATGGGGAAGGAGGGGTGAGGAAGCGCCTGCCAAAGGACCGGTGGGTGAAGTCGATATCAAAGGAAGGAGGGACGGGGAGTTCCTTCCTTTAATACGGACAAGGACTTGTTGCTCCGAGTGCCTGGCCTTTTTTGTTAAGCTCTGGGAAAGATTGGGTGACAGCATAAGAAAAACTAATACAGAGCAGAAACAGTGTATTGTTCCTCCTGCGCGTCACTAGAAATTTCTTATTTGAACGGGAACACAAGAGCAAAGTCAAGTCAGGTAGGGCAGGTATGGTTTGACCGAGGGTGCCTGCCCGGTGGCCCTCCCTATTCGCCGTTTCGAAATGCAAGTAAAAGTTTCGCGCAGCCATCAACCAATCGATTCAGCAGCGCGAAGGGACCCTCAGGGCCGGGATGCGTCGGTGGGGGGTGGTCGATGAGGAGGGATGAGGAGACCTCCAAGGGTTCTCTCACGAACGGCTTAGACGATCTAGCATTTCCTCCTCCATCTCTACTTTCTCTCTCTCTTTCTCTCTCGCATCCCAGCAGCGGCACGAAGCACGACCAGGATTATGGGATGGGAACACCACGCTTGTGGGCATGTGGGCAGGCACTAGAGCAGTGGAGGTGGCGGCGGCGTGAGGACAAGATGCCTTGCTTTGCTGTACCTGCGGTTGAGGTTCCAGACGTTGCCGTGCTCCTGCGAGCAGACGTGGTTTCAATGAGGTCCCCTGGTCGAGCACTCGCAGTACCAGCTGAACCGCAATGTCCAAGGCGTCTAGGCGGGTGACTTTCGTCCGGGCCTCTGCTTTTCATCTTACGGGTCGGGCAGCGGGGGCCTGCAGCATGTGCGTGAGCCCAGCCCATACTCGAGCCAGAGCTACTGATGGCCTGTGAACGTACAGCTTTGTTGAAGATCCCCCGGGCTGATCAAGAGCGAAGACGAGACGAAGCAGGGCCCCGGGAAGCAGAGACCATGGGTGTGGCATGAGTGGCGTGGGCCGCTTTCATCCAATCGTGCACTGAAAGTCACTGGCCACCATCGTTGCCATCATGGACCAGTCACAGACGGCTGGCGGGGCCCGTAAAGAATAGCAAGCGAACATATGAAGGGGGGCGCTTCGAGGTGGGATGAGGCGATAGACCAGGCCAGAGGGAGGCAAAAAGACAGGGCCTGGGAGCGAGGCCAACGGTGTAGACATGGATACAGAGATAGCAGAAGTAACGTGAATAGGGGTGGGCTGCAGTTGAGAAGTTGCAAACAGATAGAACTAGTGCATGGCAATGGGTTGAAGGAACATGGTATGTTCTCAGTTGTTGGCGACGAAGACGGATTGATTGGATGACGGGCGACCAGACTTCGTTTCATGCGAGTTTAGCAGAGACAGCCGCCGGCCGAATGTCAGGCACATGGACCCGCTGGGCGACCCCTGCAGGCGCCAGAACTGCCGATAGGCTGCCAGTTGAGAGGGCATTGAAGTGTGAGCGGCAAAGCAGCCCCTGCCGTGCTGCAGCTGAGCCAACCGAGAACTGACGCTATTGTGTTGCTGTCCCGAGTGCGACGGACTTTCACAGCACCGGTTGGCAACCACCTCCGTACGATACGATACGGGATCCCCACTACAATACCGACAACCTCTAAGCCACTCCACCAAGCTGATGATGGCTTACATGGAGCATCCGCCTCACGAGGTTCGTGTGTGCAGACATATTCGGATGGTTGCTCGATTCACAATCAATCCTTTGGTTCATGAGAACAAAGTATGTGTGGCTGAAGGTAGCCCTGAGCTGAATATATTTCGTCTACAGCTCACTCATTATTGGTTCATGAGTCTGGCGGCTTGTCCCGAGGCATCACCGCGATGATGTCAATCACCCGAATGCCAATCCAATACCCTTGATTCCTTCATTGTTTCGGTTCCGTTCTTCTTCTTGGCAAGCTGAATGGTCGGCCCAAGCTCCCGACTCTGGCTCGTCACATATATGATACCTCACGGCCTGCGCAATGATCACGACGCACCTTCATCGCATGAAACCTGAGCATGAAACCGAAGGATTAGACATGCCCTGGATGGAAGAAGAATGACAAATTGGCCGTGCCTCAAGCGCCAGCAAATGCATCCAGAATTCCAGATGAAGTCGGCTCCGAGACCAGATTCCTTCTGCACCTGGCCCGCTGAGGTCGCCTAATAAGCGCCCGCTTGCGTTGCACCTCATTTCACGATGCCCATTTTTAGCTGTCAAACTCCACCTCGTCTCTTGTATGCTGCCACCTTCCGCGCTTCCACTTTCTTTTTCTCAACATGCCACAAGCAATTCCAGGCCATTTACACGGCCAGCCGCGTTCCATCCTCGCTTAATTACGGACACTGCGTAGAAGCGCCAGCACTGCGTAAATGGCCTTTTGCCGCGACCATGTGGCGCCAAAAAGGTCAGAAATTGAATCGTACTTCGGCGCGCCTGTCTTGAAACTGTGTGATGAACCGTTCAATTTCATTCCGAGAGTTTCTCACCGTCGCTTTGCCCAGTTGCTTACAGGACGCCTTTATGACAGCTCACCAAGCTCTAAATCCCCAGATGCAGAAGCTGTTGGTATGTTGAGTTATATGTTCAATACTTGGAATCGAACACGATTTAAGGTCGATCGTTCTGTTCATGTGCAAGAGTTGCATACGCAGCACAGCGAAACAAGAAGAGGTCACCATCACACAGAACAACGACGGACGTCAAAATGACATTGAACACAGTTTGAATTTGGCTCCCAGTGCTAGCGCCATCAACCTAGGGCTATGTTAATTAATGTACAGGGCGAGGCCAGTCTAAACACAACGCTAGAGTTAGATACCAAGGGTGAACTCGACGCCGACGT